ATTATTGAAACAGAGGGTTAGGGAGGGTGGGAGAAGAAAATCTTTCACAAACGAACTTAAGCCAAATGGCAACGGATATGAACAAGTTCGCATTCACTCGGACCTAGTCAATCCACTCAAGGTCCGATCGATGTTCAAACGAAACCTAAGAGTTGTCACTTCGCACACAAGTGTGCTACACGATATCGCAAGAGTGCTGCGCAGCAGGGAAGCCAATGCGACCGTACTTGCTCGCTCTCTCTCTCTCTCTCTCTCTCTCCCTCTCTCTCTCTCGCTCTCTCTGTCGCTCTCTCCCTGCCTGTCTTCCCTGGAGATTGCACCCTACAGGCGCTCCACCAGGAACCGCCAGAAGTCCATAGTGCTAAAGGACTGTCTTGGGAGGCCGTGGGCGATCTTGATGCAGGGAGGTTTCTGCATAGAAAAACCTGATCGGCGAAGACGCCGACTGATATTTCAATGCAGCTCGCTGGATGCCTAACAACGTGTGCAAATACGAGCCTTTTGACGAGGTGCTCCGTATCAGATGCTGTCCTACTTGCTGGCTTCAGATTCGGTATGGGGTTCAGAGCGAAAGCTTTTGACAGGTCTTGTTTTTGAATTGGGGGGCTGAGGGCTGGCGGTGGGCTGGTGAGTGGGGGGTCCGATTTTCTCGTTTAATTAAAAGGGTTCAAGGTGAACAAAAACACACAGTGTCTTTTTAGTTCTTTCTTGGTAGGCTTTAGGGATGTAAGGATTTAGGATTTTTGGTGGCATCGGGTTTGCAGTTGGAGTCGATGTTCCAGGAGTAATGTGCGGAAGTCAATCCGAACCTCTTGACATACAACTCCAGCTGCAAATTGCCAGCACATCCCTCGGACACTCAAGGCCTTTCCCATGGCAGCAAAAGCAGGCATAAATCATCAACCGTAAAGCCTAAACCCTAACCACTAACCCCCTAAACTCTAAACCCCATTCAAGAGCCAATACTACCTGAACATTTTGGTCCGGCCACGGGAGAGTCCCATGCAGGTGTCCACTGTCATCGCAAGTCATCATGGCCGAGTTAGGTGTGCTCCCCGGCTTGCAAGTCACCTCACCTGAGGGTTTACGGTTTAGGCTTAGGGTTTAGGGGTTAGGGCCTAGGGGCTGAGGGTTTAGGGTGCTTAGGGTTTAGGGCTGAGTGTTCAAGGTTTGGGGCTTAAGATTTAGAGTCCACACCGTGAAAGGTAAATCCCTAACATCTTGGTACAGCAATGGCACCACTTACTCCTCAACACTATGCCAATCATCTATGTGCCCGCATAGTGTTCAAGGTTTTGGAGTTAGGGCTTCGGGTCTGGGTTTCTGCGAGGTGCGCAGCGAGCCATAACATGTTGATGCATCTGTCCATGCTGCAGACCACCGCCACAAGCAGGACAGTAAAGCAAACAGCACCACCTCTTTAAAAGCCTTACATCTGAACCCTGATCACTGAAAACGACAAGCTCCTGTCTATGCAAGGGCTAGCGGAAAAAGCGTGTCTACAACGAAACCCCAAGCCCTACACCATAACAGTCTTGGGCGTAAAGTTTAAGGAGGACTGGATCTTCAGGTTTAGGATTTGGGAGAGTGGATAAATCGAAGCCCATGCAGGCCGCACAGCTCAAAACACGTCAACGACAATCCAAACACTTACCAAAGTGCTCGTCCCTTTGTCTGGGCCTGTGGCCTATCAACTGTTTCGTTCAACCCCGTCTGGCGAGATGCAGGTTAGGCCGGTAGTCAATCCATCACAGTCCTCACAGGCACCGCGATTTGTTCACAGGCTTTGGGGCCTTGGTTCCGAACTCAAACTCCCCCATGATCCCCACAGACATCCGATGTTCAAAAGGCAGGGCCTGGAGTGATCGAGCGTGGGCCTTTCAATCCGGGTTTAGGGTAGACGTACAGGACTTCAGGATCTTGGGGTGGTGTAAGGGTTTAGGCCTGGAAATGGCCGGGGCTCCTGTAAGAGAAGCCTCAGGCCTGGTGTTTCATGGCGCGCCTGGTTTGGAACTCCTGTGTTCGCAGGGATGGATCCTTTGGATTGGCCCTGAACTTGGGAATCCAATGCGAAACTGGAAATCCACATCTTGCCAACTCTAAAACTAGACGCTTGCGTACGAGATCAAGTCGATTTCAGAAATCAAATCAGGAAACACGGGTTCCGACAATCCTAAATGCCAAACCCCCCCTCCCTCCACCCCGCGCCTCACCCGAGAATGCCTGATCCTGTGGGATGGTGTTCTCGCCTTGTCACAGGTCAGACTAAACGTCAAGGCTGATATATAGAGGCCTCGATAGCTTAAACTAGGCTTCAGTCAATATTGCAGTGTACTCGTATGACTGAGACCACAAGGTGTTGTCACTGTAAATTAGGCAGCCCCTTGTATTTAATTCGGTGTTTTTGGGATGCTTCTTGCAGAAGGACTGGTGGACTGGCGAGGATGTTAAGGAGTGGTTCCGTGCTTTTGCGGACGATTTGAAGGTCAAAGCCGTCTTTCGGCAGTCAAGCTGGCTGAAATCAGGGCTGTGGCCTTGGGCCGTGGTCTTTGCTTCGAACATGCCCACCCCAAAGAAAGCCATAGGCGGGCTACTCTATGGGATAAGCTGAGGGGATACAGCGTACTTGGTGGGCGGGACTTGCAGGCAAGAGTACAGACATGATTCTTCATCAATGAATACACCAGAGACGGGATAATCCTCGGGCTCCAGGATACTTGATTGGGACTGCGGGCGAGGAGAGGGCGAGGAAAATCCTGAGCACTTAAAACACCGCACAGTCTAGTGCCTGCCGGATGGGTAAGGGATCAAATGCTTGGCTTTCGGTACTGCGCTCTCCCACAGAAAGGAGCTGAGCAGGACGAATACACAGGCCATATTCCAAAGAAGGAGCATGACACTGGGCCTGACTGCGGAAGAAGGTATCAACCCACAGAGATATTGCGCTTAAGCAAGGCCGAAGAAGAACCATTGCTGACCAGTTGCAAGGGTTGCCCACGCAATTGGGCAGAATGCCAGTGATGTTGCCATGGGCCTGGCACTCAAACCTTGAGCGGGCAGCACGGGACGGCAGCAGAAACCAAACAAATCAATCCAGGCTTAATACAGCCTGCTTCTGCTAACCATGATGGTCATACTAGCTGCCAATTCGTCCGAAGAGTGACGGCAGCCTCCCCTCAAAAACATGTCATCAACATCATCATCATCATCATCATCATCATCATCATCATCATCACAATCATCACTATCATCATCGTCACCAGCGTCATCATCGTCATCATCACCACACGGAACACCATACCGCCTCAAACCCATGGCCCCAAAGCTTTGCACTCCCTCGGGGTTTTGGTTTTCTGGTTTTGGGGTTTCTTTAAAGATGTCCAAGGGCCTGGAGGGATTCTTGGTTCGGGGCTTGGGTTTAGGGTTTAAGGCTTTAGGGCTACTAACTCAGGCCTCAGTGTTTAGGGCCTAGACTAGGAATTTTTGGGTTCAGTCTGTAAGCTTTAGGGTTTAGGGCTTCAGGGTCTACCAATGCACGAATATAAACTTTACAAAGAACTACTCGCCACCAAAAGTCTGTTGAAGCCCTCTGACAAAGAAAGAAGATCAAGCGAATGCTCGAAAGCTTTCTGCCCCAACACCTCAAAAACGAATGGAAAAGCAGCAAGACACCTGCTTTGACCTTGAACCCTTCCCCCAGACAAGACGAGTGCGAGCAAACCGAAAATATACAAAAAGACAAAGAGAGTGAACCCCTCAACCCTCCGCGCAACAACCAAAAACCAAACCCTCGAAGGCCATGGGGACCGAGACGCTGGGATCCAAAGCCTTGCAAGGTCCAGCCCTTGGCGCAACTGACGCCACAGGTGTCCTGGCAGTCGAGCAAACTTGAGTTAAGGCCTTCGGGGAATCCCAAAGCCTAAACCCTAAACTCCAAACCCTGAACCCTTGTCCGAACCTCTAAATTTCTGGTACCTACACCCTGAATGAACCCCAAGCCCTGCCCTGCAAGCCTTGAAACCCCCAAAACCTCAAAACCTTGAACCCGAAACCCTCCAAACCTGAAACCCTTCAACCCCTGAACCTTCAACTTCGATACATCGAAATCCCACCAAGCCAAGGCTGATCCTCGAAAGCCATGCCGACACAGTTGTGCGAAAATCGGGATGCCTTGGCTTCGGCTTCTCTTGGGCTTCAACAACCCTTCGAGTCCTTGTTGTTGGAAGATTTGTGTAGAGTGTCTTCCGGGTGTGTGGCGGCACAGGTTGAGGGTCCTACTTTAAAGTTTTTCCAGGCTTAGGGGACTTTTGGCTTGTCTCGGATTTTGAGCCGAGGGTGTAGGGCGCGAGCATTTGGATTCGGGGGGTTTGGACGTCTGAGGGAGTTTAGGGGTCCTCCGGCGTTGAATGTTTGGGGCTTAAGGCCTGGGGAGCAAACTCCAGAAAGCCAAAGTAAACAAATTCGGATCAGGAACAAGAAACTCGATCCTTGGAGCCTCCACCCCCAACTTCATGTAGGGGCCTTAATAATTAGAATGGTGTTTTGGAGCCCATTATACTATAGCTATATTTAGGCGCCTACACTAATCTGTAAAGACAGGGGAAGCCTGGACATCAACATTAAGGGCGCTGCTTCTTGAAGGTTCGCATTCTCAGCTCAGGTGAAAAGTGCTTAGAGCCATGTTTCGGGCTTCGGGTTTGGGGATCAACTCGCCCTCTCCCTTTCTCTCTCTATATCTCTCTGTCTTTCTCTAGCTCTTGCTCGCCCTCTCGCTCTCTCGCCGCGAGGCAAAACGGGGAGGGATCCCTTTCCCCCTCGAGCGTGAACCCGCCCCTCTTTTTCTGAATTGCTGGAACAAGGTGTCCCTCAACCCTATCATCCGAACCAGCTTGACCGAACCCGAAATCGGCTGGGATGGTTTCTGCTAGATGAACTTGCAAGGGTCTAAGTGAGCAATGGAATTAGGGTTGAGGCGTTGATGTGACAGGTACCCACAGTATCGTGGTGTGCTTAGTCTACATACCGGAACCACAGAAGCTGCTGCAAAGAATCCAAGACGAGGTCTGTGCACATAACCCGCTGGCAGGAAGGAATTGTGCCTGCGTGCTGGCTCTGGTTGGAGATCATGAAGGCCAAAGGCTCATGTTAATATGTAATGCAACTCATTGTTCCTACCAACACGGTCAATATTGCTGCTTGTATATAGCTTCTTAAAGCTATCGGCATTGTACTTGTTATTGTTGTGATTCTGTTTTGTTGTTGCTTTTAGGATCTGTATTGAGGGCCACGGAACTTGGCCCCACGCCTGCAACCCTTTGCAGGACCTGGTTGGAAGGATCCCGATTTTCGTTGAAAAAACTCTAGAACCCTGAGCCTGAAGCCATAAAGCCATGTGAAAGCCAAAAGACCCTAAATCCTAAAACCCGACAACCTTCAAAACCCAACTTCTCTGAAAACTGGATGGAGAACCGCAATCCCGCAGTCCCACATTCTAAAATCCCAAAATCGTACACGCTATCCTAAACTCTAAACACGAACCCGCATGATTTAGAGTACTTGAAAGGGCCCATGCCAGAGAGGTCGAACCTCAGCCTGGTGCCAGCAAGTCTCAACATGTCACCCTACGAGCTACGATTTGCCCAGTCTCTATACATATATATATATATATTTATTTATTTATTTATTTATTTATTTATTTATTATTATTATTATTTTTTTTTATATGATGTTAAATTACATTATACTATGCTACATTATACTATATTTTCATATGCTATTACTTTATATTTTAGCTTCTTAGATGTATTATATACTCTATATTATATGTTAGATATTATATATATTCAATGCTATATATTATATATTATGTACTGAATCATACATATATATATATATACAACCTTGAAAGTCCCTAAAGCTTCGGCTCGAAAACCGTAAGACTGTGCCTACTAAACCCCCCGACACTGAGGCCCTGAACGAACCCCAAAGAATCCTGAAACCCGACCCACGATGCAGGAAAGCCGCCGTTGAATTCTCCTGTCGCTTCACACTTGAACTGCTCGGCTCCACCGGAAGCATATCCGAAGCCCTGGCGACAAGAGCATTGCATTGGGGATTCACGGCTCAAGGTGCAGGAATTTAGTCGCTTCGAGGGGTTGGGGTTCGGGTTTTTACCTGTCTAAGGTATGGTGGTTGGGACTTCGGGTCTACCCGGAACCCTGAACCGTAAACCCTCAACCTTGATCTACGCAGCTGAAGCCCTAAGACCGGAGACTCGAAACCGGACAACCCAGGCGCCTCCACCGTGCAACCTGCTGTGCAATTGCCGCCCGTCCTGGTGGAGTCTCGGGTCTTGGGTAAGTGATTGAGGGTTCGGGTTGAGGGTCTAGCTAGGCCTAGCACTTGGGGCTTGGGGGAAACGTGGCTTGCTGATTATTTTGCTCTGAGGTCTGGGACCTAGAGGTAAATGTTTCCTGAGGTATGGAGTCATGCGAGCTGCAGAACAAAGTAGACAAGGCTTGAGCACCAAGTTTTCGATTTCTCGTTGCATGCTAAACCCTAAACCCTAAACCGTGAACCCTAAACCCTAAACTCCAGGCCCCGAATGAAGAGCAGGATCTTCAACCCCCGAAGCCCCGAAACCCGAAACCCAAACCCTTTGGTGCAATGAATATGGGGGGAGGGCCCTAGTCACTGCCAATATTACTTTGGGGGGCTCCTTATTATAATCACAATACTTATTATAATCATAGTATAATATCCCCCCAAGACCCTATGCTGAATCATTAAGTTAAGGCGCCTACATCAGGGCCGAGGAGCGTGGCATTGTGGCAATCGTGTTCAACACCGAGCGCACTTGGCACGCCGTAGATGCATGGCAACGGTGTGCAAGTCGGCAAGACACCTTGGGGCTTGTTCTAAGGCTTCGGGGCTTTATGGTACAAGGCTTTAGGGTTGTGAGGCCTGGGGCGTTTATTGAAATAGAACTCTAAGGCGTACAACTTCAAGGTCTGGAATGTCGAGCCTCAGTTAGAAGAGGCTGACGGTGCAAAGGCGGTGGTTGAAGATTTGGGGATGGAGAGTTTTATGTAGGACTTCAAGGTTTGGGGTTTATGGCTTAGGGGGTTATGGGTCTTCACGGGCTTTGCGTCTTTGGGGCCGGGGGGATAAGCGTTTGAGGTTTGGGGGAGAAGGGCTTTAGGTTTCATCGTTTGAGGGTTCCGGCCGACGTTGGGGATACCGGCTTAGGGTTGAAGGTTTAGGGTTTAGGGTTGTCTTAGACTAGAGGAGGTGAGGGGTTTAGGGCTTGGGGAGGAGTTGCAAAAGAGCGAGTTTTTGCTGCACTGGGACCCCGGGAGTTGGCATCAGGGATACGCCTATGATTACCTCAAAACCTTCTAAATACTTCACAATACTACTCCCCTGTTATAGTCTCTAGCACAAGTAGTTAAAACCAAAACCCGACTTGAACAAAGGAGACCCACATTGCAAGTAACTTCACGGTCCTTCTTTGGTCTATGCAACCATACTTGCAAGCAACCTTTTCCTCACGGCTCTCTCTCTCTCTCTCTCTGTCTCTCTCTCCGAGGAAGGATCGGTTTAGAGACTCTTACCGCTAGCGAACCTTGCTGTTCTTAGCATGCGACAAACCCCTCAATCCCAGAACATGAAGCGGTGCGATTGTGGGTAACAGATCCGCGTAGTGCCGTTGAGAAGCCACCGGTGAGGGTGCCATTGTCACAGACCAGCACGGTTGGGTCGCCTTTGGAAGATTGTAGAATGCAGAGAATGTAACCCGTAGAGCCTCAGCGGTACAATATGCCATAGTTACCCTGTTTGCACCAGGCTTGCGAGGAACTACGTCTAGGCAACACCCAGAATGTGGAAGCAGTGAGTCGGGATTCCGTGTCCATGGGTGGCGTCGAAAGGCGGCGCTTGCCCTTCAACGATATGTTGATGTCCAGGATCCGAAGCCCTAGAAATCCCATACACACTAAACCAGTTAACCCCATACTGCACAATCACTAGACTTCCTGATTCCCCAACCCTGTAGTATCCCCTATGACGGTCCCCGAAGCAAGTGTTGCCACCAGGTGGCCGCTCATCTCATAGCCGCGGCCACAATGGCTGATGCACACGTCCTGACTGCTGTCTGCGTGTGTAAGCCCCCTGCCATCACTTCCAAGGTATAGCAGGCTAGCGGGTGGCAAAAGAGCCACAACGAAAGGTGGACTCGGGTGTGCAGACTGGGACTCCTTTGTGGCTGATGGTACCTAAGCAAGGCCCTCAGGGAGTATGATTTGAGTGCCAAGCGCCGACTTGACTGTAAATAACGACACCCTAGACCCTGATGAGCAGTCTAGGAGCATCCCTAAGGCTCCCAAGACAACCAACAGCACCCTCAGAACGCACGGGTCACGGGACTGTCGGAAGTGCAGTTCGTCGAATTGGAAGTGACAAACAGCATGGTATTCTCTTCTCAATGAATTCGGGTTCGGAAAGAACGCGGAACCCGCCCCTGCAAGCCACCGTGCGTGCCGCGCAAGCTCAGCGACCGAATCCCTTTAGTCACTTTAGTCTGGAATGCAAGAACGCCAGTGCTCACCACGCTGCTTGCGGCATGAACCCCTTGAAGGGCCTTGAACTCGTAGCCTGCAACAACCAACAATGTCCTGAAACCCGAATGGATTGGCGTTTCCGAAAGTTAAGGGACCCTGATGGAAACCGTGCCCACCGAAAAATACACCCGGAACTGTGGAAGAAGACCCAACTCCCAACTGCAGCCACGCAACGTCATGCACCACCGCATCGCAGCTGTGCCTTACATCCGCAGGTTCCTTTTGGGAACTGGGCCCCGTACATTGCTGTCCCGTCTTCTCAGGATACATACCTCAACTCAGTGGAACTGGAACCCCAAGCCGTACAACGTTCGTAAGGACGGCCTTCAACAGATCCCGTTGTGCAGGGTTTCGAAGAGATGCACTAAGCCAAGCCTGAGGTAGTAAGATCACGTCATACAGGCCGAAAGCCAGAAAAATCAAGCCGTATTCGGAAAGGAAACCTGGGACGTTGCGCCCGAAACGACACCCCAAATGCCGCCCTTCAAGGCGAAACCCACAGCCCGAACCCCAAAACCTGCCCAAAACCTCGACCCAACACCAAGACCAAAGTTCTTGCACAAAAACTCAACTAAGCTCACGATGAAAACAACAGGTGCCAGCTCCGAAAATACTTGAAGATTCGCACTCACTGCAACTACTTCTCCCTCAACCCGAGACACCCGCAAAATGAGGCTTTAGGGTTCTGGCTCTAGCCCTAGCCACCTCAAGCATCCAGTCCGGCAAATCCTCGCTCCCAAACCCACAACCGTCCGCGAACCCCCGGGTATACCTCGACCCCAAACACTTCCATTTGCTTACTTGACACCGTGAGCACCCTGCAATGTCCCTACAAGCGGAGAAAACAACGGTAAATGCGAGTAGCCAAGCAAAAATAAATACATGTATACGAGGACCGCCTGCGTGTCTGTGTGATTGTAGAGGTGTGCAAGCGACAGATCCTCCATAAGACCCTTTTAGAGCCGCCTGTCTTTGGGACAGAAAGTATTAGGTTCAGGTCATAGCACTCATAGCTTAGAATTTACGAATCAGGATTCCGGGTGTGGGATGCAAGGTGAAAGCCGGCAGCTGCAGAATGGAGACTTTTGCCAAGCTGCACAAACTCCGCCGAATGGAGGCCAAAGTTAGTCCTGATTGGAGGTCAGGCTTTTGGATTTAGCCGTTAGGGCTTTGGGTTTCGGCTCTAGGTTAGCTAAATCCACCTCATAGCCACAGTCACCACAAAAGGGGACTATCGTACATGAAGGGAACATTTGGTGTAAGGGTTTAGCGGGCGTGTTGTGCTGACCCTTGGGTTTGGGACTTGGGGCCTCAAGTCTCTACATTCGGGCACGGAGCGTGGTTTAGGAATTAGGGTTTAGTTTAGGGTTCAGGGTTCCTGGCTTTTTGGGGGTTTCAAGGGTTCAGGGTAAGACACTCGGGTTCCACCTCGGTTTGGCGTCGTTGGGCTTAGGGGTATTGAGCGGGCCGAATCAGCACATGTTTGCAAGAAGGCCGAACCGCCTGTAGAGCGACCACGAAGTAACCTGCATGAATCATCTTTACCGAGCAAAGAGCAAGGGCTTTGCAGATCAACGGGCTGTCACCCTGAACCGTACAATGCCTCGGGTCCGAGCCATTCTGGGCTGGAAGCAACAATGTACCCAAGAACTAGCATGGCATAGATACGCCAGAAAGCTTCAACCGTGGATTTGAACCCTACAATCCAAAGCGTCCAGCCAGAACCCTGCGGAAACTCTGGGGACGGACAGGGTGGGCGAGTCCCAAACTGCCCCGTTGGACCCAGCAATACAATATCCCAAGACCATTGTGATTATGAGCTCCTACAATAAGCTTAAAACCCCTCTCGAAGCCGCGGTTCATGGAGGCTCCATCACAGGGCGTTGACAAACGCCTTGCTGCCGTCAGCGACAGTCGTCGGTCGGCCTCCGAAATGAGGACATGAAGCCTACAGCCGATACCCCAACTACCCAAATCCCGAACCCTACGTGCACTCTAGACCCTCAACCCTGCCTCCTAGACCCTGTTACACTGGAACTGTTTTCGGGACTATAAGCATCTACTAGTTACAACTATCCCCTACGCCTCCGCGCCTGCCTCGAACCCTACGCCCTCAAGGGTTTACCGGTTTGTAGGCTGACGACCTCAGAAAGCCAAATAGGCAACTGTACAGGATCATAAGGAAGCATCCAAAACTCCTCCCACACTGCCCACTGCAGATAAACTTCAAGCGTCACTAAACCCGGGCGTCCTCCGGCGTGCAGGAGATGTCAGCAGCACTTGGCTGCACATCGATGATCCCGGTCGTGGCATTTGCAACGCACCTTTCGGAGCTTACAATTAGGGTTAATGCGTCTAGGTCTTGCTGGGGGCTATAATTCAGGTTTCGTAGGCTCTCAAACTCCCAAAAGGACTCGTGCGGGAAACCATGTGCGAACTAACTGCTGAACGGGAGATCTTGGCTGCAGGCGTGTGCTTTTCTCGGGGGTCGGATTTGAGGGCATTGGAGTGGCGATGATGCCGACGATGATGAAAAGCAGGGGATAAGGATGAGGAGGAGGAAGAGGATGAGGACGAAGATGATAATGAGGATGAAGATGACGATTAAGGTGATGATTATGATGCTGATGGTGGTGGTGGTGATGATGATGATGACGATCAAGATGATGGTGATGGTGATGACCATGACGGCCAAGGTGATGATGATCATCATCGTCATCATCCTCATCATCATTACCATGATCACGATCCTGATGATCCTCGTGAGTGATGTTGATGGTGACGGTGACGGGCATGGTCGTGGGTGTGATGATGATGATGATGATGATGACGATCATCATGATCATGATCATGACGATGATGGTGACGATGATGCTGACAATTATGATGTCATGACGATGAAGATGGCGATGACGATGATGGTGATGATGTCATGATCGTCATGACGATGGCGATGATGATCCTGATGCTGATGCTGATGCTGATGCTGATGCTGATGCTGATGCTGATGCTGATGCTGATGATGATGATGTGTTTTTTAGCTGCTGATTCCTGTGAGTCGCCACTATGTTATCGCCATCACCGTCGTCGTCGTCGCAGTGGTGCTAGTCACAGTAGCAGTAGCAGTAGCAGTAGCAGAAGCAGTAGCAGAAGCAGTAGCAGAAGCAGTAGCGGTAGCAGTGGCAGCAGCAGCAGCAGCAGCAGCAGCAGGAGCAGCAGCCGAAGCCGAAGCCGCAGCCGCAGCCGGAGCCCTAGCCGTAGCCGTAGCAGTAGCAGTAGGAGGAGTAGTAGTTGTTGTTTCAGCTGTTGTGGTTGTTGCTGTTGTTGCTGTTGTTGCTGTTGTGGCAGTAGTAGTAGTAGTAGTAGTCGTCGTCGTCGTCGTCGTAGTAGTAGTAGTAGTAGTAGTGGAAGTGGTAGTGGTAGTGGTAGTAGTAGTAGCAGCAGCAGCAGAGGTAGTAGCAGCAGCAGCAGAAGTAGTAGTAGCAGCAGCAGCAGAAGTAGCAGTCGCAGCAGAAGTTGTAGTAGTAGCAGTAGTAGTAGCAGTAGCAGTAGTAGTAGTAGTAGTAGTAGTAGTAGTAGTATTAGTAGTAGTAGTAGTAGCAGTAGCAGTAGCAGTAGCAGTAGTAGCAGCGCCTACTCCCTCAACTTTACGTCCTTGAACTCTGACCTCTGATTCTCTAAAAGCATAGACTCCTGAGTCCCGAAATCCTTACATCGCCCGGTCCAAAGCCTCGCACCCCTCGACCCAAGTCCTTCATCTTGGAATCCGTCAACCCTCCAAGCCTCAATCCCAAAGCCCCAATCTCTCATCTCCGAACCCTCGAACACCAAGGCACGTGTACAACTGCGGAGACCCAGTAAAACCACTCCTGCAGTTGGAATTTGTAGACTCTGGCGCCCTTCTGGCTAGCCCTAACAAGGAGCTCGGTGGCGTTGTTTTGAAGGGTTGTTGGGCTTCGGATATCTACCGCTGCGGCTAGTTGTGGGCCTTTTCTGGTACCCCACATAAGGTTCCGGACACTTGTTCCTTCTATTCCTGCGATGAATCTCATATATACAGCTTGGAATGTAAGGAAAACTCTGTGTTTAGGCACCATCGGCATGAAGATGGGTCTGATTGTGGTGTTTTCACGTCCTTTTTGCATCTTGTGCTGCCTCTGCATCGTCAGCCTTGTTCATCACTACTCGCATCACCAGTATCATCATCAGCCACAGCGGCAGCTTCACCACCGTCATCAGCGCCATCATCAATCACCGCAGTCTCGTCCTACGAACGGCCAACACCAATATCTGGCAACATCCCCACCATCAGCATCAACAGCAGCCTCATCATCAAAATCACCATCGTCACCGCCATAGTCCTCAAAGTCATCACGCCACGGGCAACGACATTCCCCATCTTTGTCCACCACCACCACCACCGCATCGATCTCGCGATCATCATCGTCAGAACCATCACCAGCAGCAGCATCACCCCCTCCTTGTTACCATGACCATGAACCCTGAAGCCATCCCTGCCAGACTTGAGAACCCCTGCCTGCGCAAACCTGAAGGTTCGATTCCAAGAGTCCGTGACCTCTTAAAACGGCCCAGCGGCAGACAGTAAGCATAGCACTCTTCGCCTATTGCTCGACCGGCACAGGTGCTTGCGGTGCCATTGCCGAAGTCCGGCGTTGGGCAGGTCGCCTCTGCGGCCTTGGATTTAAGACAGAGGCTCTGAGAAGAGATCGAGCAGCTATCCCTGCTTCCCTGTGCCTCCAAAGCCTTGTGTGGCGCCATGCCTGCGGTCCGAACCTGTAAGCCTTAGTAGCAGAAGCCCCAGCGAAGATCCGGCACCAACGGAACCCTAAGCACGACGCCCTAAACCGAAACCCTCAACCTACACCCTTTTCAGAGTCGAAATCCCTAGTCTGGCCTGGGACCTGAGTAACTAGACTCTTCTTCAATTAGCAGAGAAAGTTAGGATGGTTGCTTCGCATTGCTCCAGCAATTCCGGTTTAACAGGCTGCTAAACGAGCCTGTAGAGCAGCTTTGGCTTTCGGGTTCTAGGGTTGAAATCTTTTTCCATTAGGGTTTCGGGTTCAGGGTTCCGGTATCGGGGGGGTGCTTACAGTATGCAGGACTTGGGGCATACAGCTTGCAGCCTCTACTTCTGGACTCCTGAACATTAACCCCAAGACTTCAACAATCCAAGTCCATCGCAATGCTTCGGATGTATTCGGCTGATGTCACCTGAAAGAGCCCTCGAAGAACTCCGAAAAGAGATCCCTCCAAGAACCCCTTAAACTCCTTGTAACAATCTTGAAAGCCCTTCTTGAAGAAATTACAGAGCCTTCAAGCAAGTCTCAAAGAACCCTTCAAAAGCTCGCAGTGAAGAGTTTAAGTACATCAGCCGAGCTGCTTCTGGCACCACGCCGACGAAAGAACCCTCCACAGTGCACGTCAAGGTTGCGGCTGGCCTTCGAAAGGCAGAGCTCGGATTGTTAGTTTTTCATTATTATTATTATAGGGCTCAGGGATTGCACCGTTTCGGGCTTTTAGGGTTTTTGGGGCTTCTGGTTTAGGGTTTAGGGTTTAGGGTTTAGGGTTTAGGGTTTAGGTTTAGGGTTTAGGGGCTTCTGGTTTAGGCTTCAGGTTTTGGATCAAGTTTTGGGCTGCAGCTTTAGGGCATGTTCAAGCCGTACCTTAAATGACCCAGGTGCTGACAAAGGGGGTGTACCTACACTTACGGGACACCTTGCCCCATTAACCTATGGAACCATTTCGCCAACTCGGCGCCCAAATCTTAGCCCAAAAAATCCCGAAACCCATATCCCCAAAACCCCGTTATACCCATATGCCAAA